TCTGTTTAGTCAGTGTTTCTTTCTTCCATGACTCAGGTTTTCTTCCTCTCACTTTATTTACAGACCTTTTTGGAGATTTAAATAATGGATACGGATATTGCTGAGCATGCTTATTTTGGCTTATTAGCCATGCCACGCATTAACTATCAGGGTTTTTTTGTTTTTGTTTTTGTGTTTTCTAGGAAAAGAATTAAGGACACAAAAAGTATAGATTCAATTTAGCCTTGGTTTGTGTTTCCACATTAATTTTCATTTTACTTCCTTTCAGGAAACTGAAAGGAAACCCTTTTAGTTGAAGCCCAAGTGAATGCTTTCCTTCAGAGAACAAAACCTAAGACAGAAGTTAGAAATCGGCACACAAATTGGGATGGATATATATTATTTCATTTTATTTTGCTCTTATTTATACACAGATACACAAACTTCAGAGATGAGTAAAGAGATATCAGAACATCATAAATACACATACATCCATCCATATGCGTATGAATATGATTGTCTTTACATTTTAAAAATAGGAAAAATAACATCAGTTCCTAAGAATAATTTGCATTACCAAGTGCTGTGCTAGAACCTGCTGAAAAGTGGCAGTTCATGACTTGGATGCTTTGAGAGAGAGAGAAAGATCTTTTTCTTTCACAAAGGCTTGGGGTAAAATAAATGATATCAATAAATAAAAGTGAATTATCTGACGACTCTGCAAACCCCAAAGAGCATTTCACAAGTTGAAGAGGGTACAGTACCAATTATACCATTATCTCACCCTACACTCAGGGCGGATAGTCTGAAAGCCTGATATTATACTTGATGTTAGATGTCTTGGCTTCATTTGCAAATTGGAGTCATTTTCTTTTTCCCTTTCATTCTTTTTTGTGTGTGGGTGAATGCCATAAACACATGTTATATTGTTTAACAGTAGCAGACCTTATGGTTTGTTATGATATTTCTCTCCTTCTTGTCCCCCATGTCAAAGTCTTTTTTTTTTGTCCCCCCCCCCCCCTTTCCTGTCCTCTCTCTTCCTTTAATTTGAATTGTTGCCATTCGGTACCACTGTATTTCTCAAGATTTGCCCTGGCGTTATATACATTTTGAGCTGAATCTTTTGGGGCATGTCATGTTTTAGGAGACCAATTCTGGAGAAGGTCCTTCAACTGGCCAGATGTGCCATTCTGGAACAGATTGAGAGCCTGCCAAAACACCATTTGTTGCCAGTACCGGATATTGTGGGGGTGCTCATCACCCTGTTACCATATTTTTGCACTTCTTAACATTGCATAAATAGGCAGCTGCTCTGTATTTAGAATATAAATTAGTCTCCAGCATGCTCTCCCAGGAGAATTTACCTGCCAGAGGAAACCATGGTGTTAACCCCTTCCCATCTAAAGATCCTTCTCCCAGCCCTTTGGAAGCAGATCCTATGCATATAAATAACACCTTTCTTGCTAGTTAGGAAAGGCAAGCAAACCGAAAATGTGCAGTACCTAGTGCTAAAATGAACACATTTCCTTAGCAGCAAAAGCAGTCAATTAATCTGCTTATAAACTGCGAGTGAACGATTTGTGCTCATTTTTTTCTGACTGCTCCTTCAATATGAGGCTAGGTTCTCTAATCTCCTAAAGGGCCATGACTTCATTAAGAAAGAAAACCAGGTTTAAAAAATGTGTTGTAAAGGGAAGAAAAGAAAAGCTTTGAACATCACTCAGTTGTCTCTCTGGAACTATTTACTGGACAGGGATTTTTATTTATTTGGAGAATGACAATTAACCTAGAGACTTGGCACAACAAAGGAGCAGAGTGCTGAAGTGGGTCTCATTACAGGACACAGAAAGCAGTTGGTTTGACCTAATCCCTAGTTGTAGCAGATGATTTACATAAGAGGCTAGCACAAGCTGCGTAATTTTGATTTCAAACAGCTTGACCAATTACACACACACACACACACACACACTCACATAGACACATTGTAAGCTGCCTTCTAGTGGACCCCAACTCATGAAGACCAAATACTGCCCTATCCTGGGCCATCTCCACCATCTGTTGCAGATCAGTTCATTGTGATTCAGGTTTTCATCAGCGTGTAGTAGCTCACCAGGACTTTCTACCGTGTCTGTCCTTTTCTGAAAGTTCTACTGGGATTTGTTCAGCATCCCAGCAACATCCAATCCCGACAGAGATAGAAGCTGGGCATGAAGTGCATTGGCTGGGGACAGAACCTGGGTCTACCACATGGACAGGGATGAGTCTACCACGATACTATGTGTACTCACACATATTGTGATTGTTTGGTGCGGATGAGTGAAGTTTGACTTATAATGACCCTACATAGCCTTTCCAAGTTGTTCAAATGAGACAAGGGAATCCTGAATGATTTGCAGTCAGGAGAGGCGTGTGGCATGATGGTATCCTCTCACCATAGTTGTGAAATCTGTAGGATTACCTAATCAACATTGAAGGTGGATTATTTGAAAAAGAATGTGGCATCAGGATTGGCAGAGGGCTCATTAACGACCTGCAATATGCAGATGATACAACCTTGCTTGGTGAAAGTGAGGGGGAATTGAAGCATTCGGCGATGAAGATCAAGGACGGTGGCCTTCAGTACGAATTATAATTCAACGTCTAGAATCCTTGAAGTTGTCAAAGATTTTGTCTTGCTTGAATCCACAATCGATGATCATAGAAGCAGCAGTCAAGTATGACAAAATAACGATTTATAAATTATCAAGGGTTCATGAGGGATGTGGGAGGGGGGAGGGAGGGGAAAAAATGAGGACCTGATGCCGGGGGCTTAAGTGGAGAGCAAATGTTTTGAGAATGACGAGGGCAATGAATGTACAAATGTGCGTTACACAATTGATGTATGCATGGACTGTGATGAGTCGTATGAGCCCCTAATAAAATGATTAAAAAAATTAATTCGTTAATTTTTTTAAAAAAGATAAATTGCCTTAGGTAAATCTGCTGAAAAAGACCTCTTTAGCGTACTGACAAGCAAGGTATTACTTTGAGGACTAAGGTGGGCCTGACCCAAGCTGTGCTCTTTTCAATTGCCGTATATGCATGTGAAAATTTGAATTCTGGTGCTGGTGAAGACGATCGGACTCCTAAAAGGACAATCTCTTCTACCTTGGACGAAGAATGGCCAGAATGTGCTTTAGAGGCAAAGGTGGAAGGCTTCGTCTTACTTGCTTTGGACACATCATTGGGAGAGACGCTGGAGGAAAACATCATGCTTGTGAAAGAAGAGGCTCAGGGAACAACGAAGAAGGCCCTCCACAAGGTGGATTGACGCAGCAGCAGCGGGCTGAGACCGAGGAATAATCCTGAGCGTGGCACAGGACCGGGGCGTTTTGTTTTGTGGCCGCACGGGGTTGCAAGGGGTTGAACTAACTTGGTGACACCCAGCAAAGACGATGTAACAGATGCATCCCCCCTGGGTTTTCCTCTCTGTAATCATTGTGAAAGCAGATGGCTAGATCGTTCCTCCCACAGAGCCCCTGGGTATATGGCTAAGCTGCCAATGTTTTGGGTTACCAGCTATGGTCTTAACTTGACTGTCATAGACACACACACACACACACACACACACACACACACACACACACACACCATGACGTGTAGATGTTTTCGTTCCTGGGCACATTTGTCAGTGTTGGAGAGTCAAAGATTATTTCCAGCAGAGGTACTTTGGGGGTATCTGGCATATTAACTACACTGACTCCTTTTGGAATGTTTACTTTCTGCCCAACCCACTACACCAAGTCCGTTCTGGTCCTAGTGATGTTCTATAGGGTTTCTGAAACTATAAATCTTTAAGGGAACAGACAGCCTCATCCTCCTTCCTTGGCCTTACTGGTGGGCTGGAATCACAGGCTGTGTGGTCAGCCTGTAATGCCTAACCTGTAACGCCACCAGGGCTCCTTGATGTGCACTCAACATGCCAACTGCCATGGAGTGGATTGCAATTCCCAGGGACACTTTAGGGTGGAGGAGAGCTGCCTCCTCTGGTTTCCAAGAGTGTCCTGCTTTAGAAAAGCAGAATGCGCATCTTTCCCCACAGAGCAGCCTCTGGGTTCCCAACAGAGCTTTCACAGTGCAGCCCAACCTGGAAACTCCTACCTCGACAGGGCACTTGCCTAAGGAACCCATGGGCCGTAATTGTAAAATTAAACCGGGCTCTGCAAGGTGATAAGGGGCCCTTCTCTTCTCCGGGCTTTCCATCTTGCTGGCAGCAATAAAGCTCAGGCAGATAGATAGGTGACATTTGGAGAGGCAGGCATGCCAGATTTTCGGAGGTTGCAACGGAGGTCCAACCTGCTGTTCTCCTTAATGAAAGGAGGGGAAATTCAGATGGGCAAAACTGCTATAAGGGATATCTCTGCTCAGAATGTCACGCTGCCCAGATGTCGCTCGGCAGGTGGAGACGCTGAGAGAATGGAAATGGAGCCCTGTGTGTGTGGGTGCTAGTGCGTTACGAGGGTGAACAATGAGGCTATCTTCCAAAGTGCAAGGAGAACAGTGTGGCTCTTGTCCATATTCCTGTTGTGAGAAAGGGTTTTTTCAGAGTTCTCACCTCACTTCCCCTCCCAGACTGACCCCCATGCCTGCTCATAGAGATCGCCTTGCAGGCAAGTTAAGCTATTCTCATGCATTTATAAGGCTACCTGCTTTGCCCGTTTTGAGAATCATGCTACATAAAGAGTTCCTCGCCTTGTTTTTTAAAGATCTCAAAACTCTATCACTAATATTTCTCGCCTTATTTCCCGCTTTTTAAAAATGGGATTTCAAAACAAAGATGCACTATTATGTGTGCAGCCTGTTGATAAGCATTTAGGAAGGCTTTGGGAAGTTTGCATATATGTATGGCTACACACCCAGTAACGTTTGTGTTGTTCTTTCTTAATCAGAACAGAGTAAATAAGACTTGAAATGGCCTCTTGCAGCATAAAGCTGAAGTCATTGCGACTGAGCTTTCTTTTTCTCTAATTATTCTTCTGCAGTGTTACGAGATGATTTCCGGCAAAACCCCACAGATGTTGTCGTGGCAGCCGGAGAGCCTGCCATCCTGGAGTGCCAACCTCCCCGGGGACACCCTGAGCCCACCATCTACTGGAAAAAAGACAAAGTTCGAATTGATGACAAGGAAGAAAGAATAAGTGTGAGTTAAAGAAAAAGACCCTGGAGAGACTGACTTATCAAGTCTTAGGATTATTAATAAAATTCTAGAACTATGCTTACAAACTTACCAGCCTATATTATTTATACAGCATTGAATGGGGTCTTTTAAAAATGGTAACATTTTATAAAAATAAAATGTGGGAATGAGCCTTCAAATAAGATAAAAATATATGCCAATGTTTATGGTATATTAATAACTGTGCCATTCTATAATTATGCTGATTGTATAAAAATATCTTTACAGTATAATATTAATGTCTTAGCTCATTTTAAGATTCCAAATGAATCTATTGATTATGTAATACATGGGTGTTAAATTACAAATGATGGTCATAAACCAGATTAACTAGACCCTTTCACTGGATATTATTTTCCAAATCATAAAAGGAAATAATTTAAGATGATGAACATTTTATGCAATTTTTCTAGTTTTTTTCAATTGAATAAAACATTTATAGCATTTTATATTGTGATTAATTAAAAGCAAGTTTAATAGATATGAAATAAAACCAAAGTACAAAGCACTGGCCGATTCCGTGTTGAAAAGGCATCTACTTTGAAAAGGGAAATCAGTAATAATCAGGTTCATAAGGGGATTTGGGTTCCAATTAAAACTCGCAGAAATAGATGAAGATGTAGATCAAGGAGATCATATGTAGTCATTGTACTGTATCAGAAGAGCCCTGAAAATCTGAATGTGAATTTTACAAATAAGAACCTGTTCACTAAAATGGTGCAGAGTGTCTAGATCTTCTGAAGTTGCTTAATTATATGCCTTATATCCATCACATTATTTGAGAATGAATGTATTATCTACAATAGTATCTCTTTGATCGAACAAGCATGTCTTCATGCTTAAAAGTCTATATAGCCTGAATGTCTGTTATGTTTAAAATAGAACTATGCTTACCAAACTTACCGGCATATACTATTTACACAGCATTGAAAGGAGTCTTTTAAATATGGTAACATTTTTAAATGAAGAATTAAATTAAAAACTTTCGTAATGTGCACACATGCTTTGACAATGCACAGAACCAGGTGTATTGTGGAAGAGATCACAGCATGTGTCCCTGGCTGGACTGTTGGCATTGTAATACCAAAAAGAATTTGTTTAAATGGTCTGTGCACCTCAACACCCAGTAGGACAGAGTCGAACTACCTCTTTAGGTTTCCATGGCTGTCAATCTTTCTGGGAGCAGAAAGCCTCATCTTTCTCCTGTGGGGTGGCTGATGGTTCAGAATTATTTGCCCTGTAGTTAGCCTCCCAGCACATAATCTTCTGTGCTCTCTTCTCTTAGAAGGGAAACTTGGTTTGAACAACTTTTTTTGCTAGTACATTATCTTCTTTAATTTCTTTGGTAAAAGTAAGTTATGCTGCCAAGACAGCTGTTAGCTATTAATCTACCATTATGTCTACTGGAAATCATTGAGATGGATATAGAGATCATAATATCAATATCCTAGGAATTAGTACACTAAAATGGATTGACATTGGGCACTTTGAATCTGATGGTTTACTATGGATAGAATGATGAATTAAAGAGATATGGTGTCACTCTAATAGTGAAAAAAAAACATTTCAAAACATTTCTAGAAATACTATGCCATCTGTGATAGGACACTACACACCTACAAGGAAATCCAGTCAATACAATTATTATTCAATTTTTAGGACTAAAGATAATAATAAAGAATTTGAAGAAGTCTACCAACTTCTTCAGTCTGAAATCAAGCAAACGAGAATCAAGACATATTGATAATATTTGGGGGGATTGAAATGTGAAAATTTCAAACCAAAAGGAAGGGTCAGTGGTTGAAAAATATGGCCTTAATGATAGAAATGAAGTTGAAAATTGCCTGACAGATTATTGAAAAACCAACAACTTCTTCATTACAAATCCCTTTTTTCAACAACATGAATAGGGTCAACATATATTTCATCAGTTGGATTACCCACGAGTCAAATGACCATTTCTGTGGAAAGAGACAATGGAGTAGCTCATTGTCAGCAGCCAAAAGGAGGTCAGAGTACTCATATACACCAATTTCTCAATTCTAAATTCAGGTTGAAGCTGAAGAAAAATACAAGTCAATAAGAGCCAAAATTCAACTTTTAGTATAGCCCAGTTCACTTGGGAGAACAACTCAAGAAGACACATCGAACACTAATTGCAGAACATGTAACTGTGAAATAGCAGAGGCATTACTGTGAGTTGATATCAAGCACATCATACATAAAGAAAGCATAAAATCATTAAAAAGACAAGGAAAAGAGAAAATATCAAAGTGTGCATTAGAAAAGATGCTGAATATGTCTCTTGAACGTAGAGCAGCCAAAGCAAATGGAAGAAATAACAAAGTGAAAGAGCTGAACAGAACTTCCAAAGGGCAGCTAGAGAAGACAAATAGAATATTATAATCCAATGTGCAAAAACCTTGTATTAGAAATTTTGTTTTAAAAAACATGGTTGGCATGTCTCAAATTGGAAGCCTAGAGTTGCAATATTGAAGAATTCTATGGGCAAAATGTTGACAGATGAAGGAAACATGAAAAGCAGATGGAGGAAATACACAATTACTTTAAAAAAAAACAACAACTGGTCAAAATACATCCATTTCAAGAGGGAGCATATAATCAAGAACCAGTGATGCTAAAGGAAGACGTTTGAGCTACGCTGAAGACATCGGCATACAAAGAAAACCCAGGAACTGATGACATCCCTATTGGAAATGGTTCAACGTGCTATTGAAGCACCGGGGGCACTCATTCATCTAAGTCAATACATTCAGAAGACAGCTACACCTGGCCCACTAACTGGAAGAGAGCCACACCTGTGCCCACTCCAAAGGAATGGCAACCTGAGAGAATGTGGCAGTTATCAAACAATATCATGAATATCATAGGCAAGTCAAATACTGCTGAAGATCATTCAACACCAGCTTCAGCAGTACCTCGACAGGGAGTTACCAGAAATGTGAGCTGTGTTCCTGGGTGGACATGGCACAGTGTATACCATGGATGTTGTCAGGTGGATGTTCCCTGAAAGCAGAGAATACTACAAAGATGTTTACATCGTTTGACTGCATGGATCAAAACAAATTATGGCTATATTGAGAAGCACAGGAATTCCTGAGCCCTCCATTGTGTCCATGCCAAACCTGTACATAGCAGAAGGGGCAGTAGTTCCAATAGAAGGTTTATAATTGAGAAAGGTGCCCACACTGACCGAAATAACCAGAGAAGAGCTGTTTTATATGAAGCAGAGTGAGCCATCAAGATTGGGGGAATCTTCTAACAACCTGAGTTATGGAGACGATACGACTTTCTTTTGCGGAAAATAAGGATGACTTGAAGCACTTGATCATGAAGAAACAGGATTATGCTTTTAGGATGGATTACAACTAAATATAAGGAACACAAAAACCCTCACAAGTGGACCAATAGGTAACATCATGATAAATGGAGAAAAGATTGAAATTGTAAAGGATTTCATTTTGCTTCAATCTATAATCATTTTGCTTAGATCTATAATCAATGCTCACAGATGCAGCAAATCAAGAAATTATTGGGGAAATCTGCTGCACCAGAGGTCGCGTCCATTGCTTATCAGACAGTGCCCCCAGGCTCTTCTATCCCGTAGAGGTCCTTAGTGGGATTTCACCATATTATCTACAGCAGATGTCAAGTGTTCCTGGTGGATGACAAATGACAGTATAAATTCCTTCAGCAGAATCTCAGTGTGAAGAAAGAATATTGAGATTTGGTGAGAGCAGTCACAGGACCAGAAATAGGTCTGAGGGAGAGAAAGAAAAGTTATGTTACTGAAACATGACTTACCAAGGAACTATGAAATCTTGTCTTAAAAGTAAATTCAGAGAAGAAAGAACATATTTAGTTTCCAAAGTAGTGGAAAAGTTTTGTGTCTCACACAATAAATCATTTGCTGTTGGGGTGAAAACAAAAAGCATAGTTCAAAATTGTTTTTTTAAACAAATTTCCTTTTCTTTTTGACATCTTTTAACAGATTCGTGGTGGAAAACTGATGATCTCCAATACCAGAAAAAGTGATGCAGGGATGTATACGTGTGTTGGCACCAATATGGTGGGAGAAAGAGACAGTGATCCAGCAGAGCTAACTGTCTTTGGTAATTTTAAATGATAAACGGCTTTTACTATGTCTTAGATTTTAAATATTAAAGCAATACTTACTTTCCATAGACCTTTCTTACAAATTTCTTATATAATAACCTCGTATCTCTCAGGAAAAAATGTCACTATCACCAATAGCATGTAGTAGTTGTGTGTTTGTGTGCTTGCAAAGCAAGCTGCCACAGTAGTTCTCAAACTGCTCTGTGTCACTAAAATGATTTTCAGGTTCTATGAATGATAGGATAAGATCTTTATTTTATGTTATTATTTATCAGGACACTCAAATGCTCTCCCAATTTCTGCAGTCGTCCCTAAAGAAACCATTTTGGGATATTTTAGCCCATCTCTTAATGGGAATGTCAAATAGGGAAAAAGAGCCATGTTATAATTTTCACTACATTCAGAGTTAAGATTGTACTTTATGAATATGTACCAGCATCCAGACCTCTCATTTCAATCACTCTGAGTACCGAGTCATCTTGGGTAATACTCCCTGTGGATACTAAGCAGCTTGAAGTTCTAAATGACAGAGCCAAGAGAAATCCTATAATTTGTTAAATGATTGAACAGTAAAAATAAAAATTTTCAAAGTATACGCATACATTTCTGTCCCATAGAGCTCAGACAAATATCTGTTTGCCCTTAAATTTCATGCAGTCATGTATAAGAGTCTTAAAATGTGCTTCACTTCATAATGAATAAAATATGGTTTTGCCTGGTAAGATATGAAATTAGTGGTCGCTGAACATTATCATTGTAAACCCACAAATAGAGCTATTCTATTTAAAGAAACATTTATCTCTATTTTTTGGTAACTGCCACAAGCTTTGCAGTAGGAAAATGCTGCATTAGAGTAGTGTACCTTGTCTTCTGAAGGAAATTGAAAGAGTTTAATGTCAGAACCCAACCAATTAAACTCACCAACATTGCGGTGGTTTTCTGAAACATTTACCTAGCATTTCCTAAAGACATGAAATGAGTACTTTAAATACGTGAGGATTTATAGGGGACCCTTTAACTTATCTTTTGAAAATAGTTGGAAACCAAAGAGATTCAATGTGTCTAGAGGCAGTTTTTCGGGGAAGCAGGCAACCGCACAAACCCAGAAGCCTGTTTCGGGTGCTCGGGACTAGTCAGAGTTGGCCTCTAGGATTGAAGGTGCAATTGTAAATTGAGGGGCAAACCAAAACGCCACTATCGGGGTGGGGGAAAGTTAACGCCGGAAGGAACATAGTTATGACCGTATTAATGATCTGAATTAAGGTTGTCACAAATAGTCAATGAGAGAGGAGACTTCTTGTCCCTCTGGACTGGCCGATTCTCCCTGTTCACCACCATGGAGTCAACGCTGACTCACCGATGACCCTCTTTCACAAAGTACAGTGGCCCCTGGGCGTGTCTGAGGCCGCACATCTGTCCCGCAGCAGAAACACTCCTCTGGCTCTTGGGCAGCAGCTGGTGGTCAGCAGCCCCACGGAGGACCCACTACACCACCAGGGCCTCTTCCAATTCGAAAAGAATAGAAACTAGATTAGGTTCTCTTTATTATGAGGCCTAACTGATTTCGTTTGGGGACCACTGCTTCAGTGCGTGCATGGTAGCCTGCCATCCACATGGTGGGCAGTTCGAAACCACCAGCAGTGCTGCTGCGAGTGGAAGACCGGGATCGCTACTCCCGTCAGCAGTTACAGCCTCAGCAACCCCCAGGAGGTCTCTATGCGTCAGCGCTGAGTTTGGGTGATGGCCAGGAGTTTGGATGTTCTTATTGCTTCCGTGCAGGTTTCCTAATGGGCTGCTTTATATTTTCTCTTGTAAGCTAGTGATGTTTCTGACCTGCATGCGTAATCATGGGCAAAGCAAATCTGGTCACGAGACACTGCGACCTCCACCAGTGTTCGTTCACATAGCAACCACTCCATTCATAAGAGGCTGTCTACTGAAGCCGCTCTGAAATTCAGGGGGATTTTAAATCTTCACTGTAGCTCAATCTTTACCTGAAGATGCATTACTCAGTGAAGAGTAAGTGACGACACTTAAGTTTTCAACAGATTGACTCACTGGTGGACAAGAAAAATGTGAAGGGAATAAATGGTGCTCTCCAGTACTCCTCTCTGCCACATAGTGCTGGGGAAATAGTTTTACTTTTTGTTTAAGAATTTTGAATCTTCAGTAAAAGATATTAGTAAATGTAACTTACAGTTTAGAAATTCGGGAGGTTGCTTCAAATGGAAAGATCCATTTGTTGTTCTTTCATATTTCAGTGTTGTTTATTAAAAAGCCCATTGATAACTATGCCAGCTGATGGTTTTAACTCTTTGGTGATCCATTTAAGATCTAGCCAATTTTCTTGGGCATGTGGTCAGAGCTTAAGGCTGATGATAGCATAACCAGTCACTAGATGAGATAAAAATATTTGATAACATGACTATAGATGAGCTACAAAGACATAAAGCTGTAAGAGAAGATCATTGAGAACCAAACGTCAGACAGCACATGACCGATGATCTTCAGCCCTTATTTAAGTCAAGAACACAGTGCTATTGGAGACACATTATTAAAATCAAGATGGTTCTTGGGAGCAATATAATTTGTTTTAGTTATCTTTACTGTCAACCTGAAAATAAGCAAAATGTTCTTATCCATTAATTAATTTAATACAATTTATTAAGCACCTAATATACCAGGTCAGGAGCCCTGTGGCATCAGTGTTTACATGTTGAGCTGCTGACAAGGTCAGCAGTTTGAAACCACGACCATCTCTGAAAGAGAAAGATGAGGTTTTCTACTCCTGTAAAAATTTGCAGTCTGGAAAATCCACAGAGACAATTCTACTTTGCCCTATAATGTCACTATTGGTCACATACAACTCCATGACAGTGCGGTTTTGTATGTCCCAGGTCCTGTCTAAATGCATGCATATACTGGTGAGCTTGTAGGCAAGATCCCTGCCCTTTTGAAGGTCATTCGATCGCTTTCTTAGGAAGCACATGAAACTTTATGCCTGACATATGGGCAGGGTGACTGTTTTTTTTTTCCTCAAACATTTGAACTCTTTGCTTCACAAGAGGATTTTTTTCTTACGAAAAATACTGGCAAGAAAAAAAATTAATTTGGTCAATTTATTTAATCACATTAAGATGGCCTGATCATCCATATATTCTGGAAAGATCCAAAGGAGTAATAATTCATTTACCATGCTGTGATTCTCTTAAAATAACAAGTTAAACTAAGAGGGAGAGAGAGCTCCTAAGGCTAGCCATTTCACTTCCCAATTTAATAAAGATTACAGAGTTACAGGAACATCAGAGCCAAATGAAGTTACCAGAAAAACAGCAGCTAGCATTCTCTTCAACTCACTGTCACTGAGTTGATGTCAACTCATAGGGGCCCCATAGGACAGGCTAGAATTAGCCCTGTGAGTTGCCAAGACTGCAATTTTTAATGGGAATAGAACACCCCTCTTTTTCTAGTGGAGTGGTTGATGGTTTTGAACTGCAGATCTTGTGCATGGGAGCCCAACACGTAATCTGTGCACCACAGGGTCCAGGCGAGAATGTTAGAGTTGACTTAAAACTAAACAGACAAAAAAAAGAGCCCTTTATAGCATAGCATTGGTCTTATAGGACTTGATGGCCTTTACCTGAAAAAATTATTGCGATGACACTACAATTATAATGAGCAAATCTTACTTTTACATTGTTAAGGTCATCCTGACAATAGGTGTCATGGCAACGCCATTGCCAATGTTAAGGCAACTGTATTTTAGGTTGATAATACATGGTGTTCATTTGGTTATTTTTTTCTTTGTGGATATTGTTGGCATAACCGCAGAGTTTAAAAGACCATGAGACATTTTAGTACAGAACCATCTAACATTAGATTTTACAGAATGCTAATTCGGAACGAGATTGATATAACTACTTGAAAGCTGTACTTTACAGCGTACCACACTGGCAAACAACACTAGTGTCTCTAGAGAGAGTAACCTTGTAAGCATGCTATGCAGGTGATGCAAATCCAGTTAATCTCACCCCCACACAAAAAGTTAATTGCCTTGGCAAAGAGGTTGCCTCTGCTCTCTCTGCAGTTATATAATTAGAGATTGAGCCATTTAGAAGAGCTCTATTCTAAGTGATAAACAATGAGAAAACAACCCTCAAGATTTCCTGTTTTTTTTCAGTCTGAGTTCTGACATATGGTGATAAATGGACAAATCAGGGCGCTTAGCTTTACATCCCTTAAAATTAAGTTGGCCTGTCATTCAGTCATTCAAAATGTACTGCATATAACCCAGAACCAAATTCACTGCCAAATACTTTATCATAATTGTACAGAGATCCGTGGGGTACAAACTCCATAGAACTTTATTTGTAATCTGTGTAGATCACTTATCAATTTATAGTCTAATTTAGATTTTTTGACACAAAATGGCATAACCAAGGCATTTCCTTACTATTTGTATAATTTGTGACCAAAACAGTGCATGGCTCTGTATCTGGCATATGATAATTAAAATGTAAAACATTTACTATTCAGCTGTGGCCTCTGTAATTCTTCAGTTTTTAATGTGTATTATTTTCATAGATTTTCTGGAGATTAATTCTGGCCAAGGAAATTAGAAAAGCATTCTGACATATATTTTAAATTTCATTGAAATAGATGCTAGGCAGACATATTTTTACATACATTTCTTCTAAGACAGTCATGAAAGTTGTAAAAAGGAAGGTGTCGCTAACAAAAGGTCATTGGAATACAGAAAACTGGATTTAGAAGAGTGGAAATTTACAGAATAATAAATCCCAAATTGTGGCCAAACTCCAGTATATAATTTAATCCTAGAAGAACCTTTGTTGGAAGAGAGAGCCAGGGAACTCATATAGAGAACCCATTGTCATGTGTTATATAGACGAAAATGACTTTCCATCTGATGTTCTTTGCATCATCCATTTCTTCTGCCTAGCCATTCCATTACCTTTTACCACACGAACCAATGATA